ATCTAGCAGTAGCTTGCAGTGCTGCATTTAACCACTGCGCCACCTCGGCTCTGATGGGTGGAAACTAATCAAGGAGAGAAGCAACTGAGAACTGAGGAGAAATTTCCTGACAGTTAGAACACTGGAAGTCTTTAAGAAGATGTTGGATAGTCATTTGTCTGAAACGGTATAAGGTTTCCTGCCCAGGCAGGGGTTGGACTAGAAGACCTCCAAGGTCCCTTCCAACTCTGCTATTATATTGTATATTATCTCTTTTACTTTAAATAATAAAACACAAACACTCAAACTGAAGAAAAAAGATAGCATATTGAGCTGTCCATTTTCACTCAGGGTCATGTTATGACATGACATGACATATTGAGGCAACCTATAAAAAGAACAAAAACATTTTTGTTGTTTAACAATTACAGTATTTTTATATTATTGTGTTGGTGAAGTTTTTGTTTTGAAAGCTGCTATAAGTCAGAAGGTGGCAAAAGGCTGTTTTTTAGTAGAAAAACTAAAGATGAATTCAGTTGTCTTCATGCTGGGCTGATGTGACAATGAGGCAGTGTCATGTGGACATCTCTCTGAACAATGGTTAGCAAGACATCTTCATGTTATAGTTAGAGGGACGTGAGGAGGAAGCCCTTAAACTTTAGGTCCCTCCTCTAATCGGGATGATTGTTTGGGGTTCTCCTTCAATGATCTGCTCTTTCTCCCAATTCAGAACCAACCAGTTCAAAATCCATCCTGGGGCTCATCATTGGCTGCGTTGTGGCTGCCCTTGTCCTGGCGTGTGCGATTGCTGGGGTCCTGGTATTCTTCAGTAAGTATCTTTTGGGGGGAGGGGGGTGATGGAAAGAAGATGGGGAGATTCCCCCCAAGTCTCTCCCTTTGGGAAGCTTCTTCTGGGCTTCCTTCTGTCCTGTTTTTTCCAGCCCTCTTGGGGATTATCTGAGATCTCAGCCTCTTGCTGGGACTCCAGTTTCTATTTGGGGGATGCCAGCTGGATCTCCGCTTGGTCCCACACCACGAAGGATCTCTAAGAAGAAACTGGTTAGAAAATGAAGTGTTGGATCCGTTTGTATCCTCAAGTCAACTCTGCCCTCTGGCTGAAAATCAGCTGAACTATTACTCTGTGTGTGCACAGAGTATAAATTTTAAGAATTCTTCACGATGCCTTTTAGCCAAAACAGTTGGGTTCAAACTCTCTCCATGTGTTTGAGAGTCATAAATTGTGTGCGAGAGAGAAAAGGAGGGAGGGAGCTGGAGTCAGAAAGGGCTGAGCTGCTCTGTCTATAAGCCAAGAGGGCAACTTTCTCACCTCTTTTCCTTTCTTTTCCAGAAAGTGACAAAGGATACAGCAGTTCAGGCTGGGGTAAGTCGGAGGGGAGCTGTCCCTTTGCAAAACTCTGGGTGAACAGGGAGATGATTTTTAAAGCCTCCCTAATTCATGCTCTCTATGTTCCATCCGTGCCTGGTTCTGGTGAAATAATTAGAGAGTTTAGAGACAGTTTGGTTTAGTGGTGAGGCCACCAAGTGAGACTAACTGGGGGATGGTGAGTTCTAGACCTGCCTTAGACCTGAAAGCCGGCTGGGTGTCACAAAATCCACTTTCCTTGCACTGGTTGATTCTTCAGAGGAGAAGAGGAAACTCTCCCTGTTGGATTCAGGCAGGGGAGGCAGCCCAGAGTCTGCATGGTGGAGCCTTGCCCCCCTTTGGAGGAAAGAGCCTCAATTCACAGAGAGGAAATAGGGAAACCACCAGTGAGGCCATCATCCCCAGTGGTTAGAGACTCCTCTGGCGGCAAAGCTGAGACCTACCTGACTCTGGAAGGGGGATCTACTCTGGAAAGGGTTTAGGGTTTGGAATTCTTTTGTCTTTCAGGGGCTTTGGTCCCCAAGTTTCTGGTTATGGCTCCCAGTTTCTGAAACTGGGCTCATAGGATAATCAGTTGGGCTTGTTGCTGCTGTATCAGCCTCCCTGCCTGAGTAGCTTTTTGCAGTTGGCATGGAATTCCCCAGGATTCTGGTCCTGGGAGACTTCAATCTGCCATCCCTGGGTTTAGCCTGGGATGCTTTCCACGGCTACCATGGCTGACATGGGCCTCTC